ATGATCTAAGAGCCTTTGGGCTTCCAGAAAAAGGCCTAAGCTGGACTTTACAGGTCATTTTGCCAGACCCTGCCTCTAGGCCAACATGTCCTCTGCCTTGGAGCTGGGATGGGGGATCCTCAGCAGACCACCCCCCACCCCCAGCTCAATCTCCATCCTGTGGCTGCACCTCGGGAGGCTGGTTGTAGGAGTGTGCCCCCCTTGTCCTTCCCAGCTAGAGCAGTTGCCTAGTTGTAAATGTCATTAGCTGCTCAGCACCCTCAAAATGAACACATGGCTAATTGTTCCTGCAATTATCAGTTGCACTGTAATTAACTGCGTGAGTGATTTTTTGTTTTGTTGTTGTTATGCATGTCATTGTGAATGCAAACTTGTATCCAAGCAAAGGATGTGTGTGGTCAGAAGTGACCTTTTTCCTGAGATGGAGGAAGGTGTTGCCTGTTGGGTGTCCAGGTCTGAGCTCTCTGCCCTAGGAACCTAGAATGAGCCATTTTTTGAGGAAGGGTGTGTCTTCAGGGAGAGACTGGTCTGGGGGCTTGAGTTTGAGGTGTCATTACCCAGTAGCTGGTCCTGGTGGGGCAGGTTTCTCAGACTCTCTGAGCTCTCTCCCCACCCAGGGCCTAGCCTCTGTGGGTTCATGTGGCAAGGTACAGTTGTGAGGCTATGACAGTGTGAGCTGCTGCGGGGAGAGAACACATGACTGGGTCAGTCAGAAAGCTTGAGCAACCCAAAGCCAGTGATGGTTCCCACTGTGGGAATCAGAGGCCTGCCCACCTGGCCTGGCAGAGAGAAGCAGGTGAGCCTGAGCTCTGGGACACCCTGAGTTACATATCTACTTGTGTTTCTTGGAACTAGGCTGTAGGTTACCACCCTGAAACAAGTGCCTGCTGGTCTTCATTTGGCTTGTCCTCACCAGGGAAAGCTACACGTGTTTCTTTCTTCAGTGGTGCTCAGTCTGCTCCAGGGAGTCGGGTAGGAGAGAACCTTGTCCCTGCCTTTGGAGTGTCCCACGGTACCCAGGAAGGTGAGGTCCAGATGGCAAGATGCTGAGGAGGTATTCTAGTTGGGAAGGCTTGGGTGTCAGGGGCCAGAGGTAGAAGAGAGCCACCTGTGGGCATCAGGCAATTCCTGTGGGAACATGTGACACATGTCCTGGTCGAGGTCTCACCATTATTGAGCTGCTGGCAAAGGGCCTGTGTGGTGGTATTGTGTTCCCCAAAATATTGTGTACCTTAATAAACTTATCTGGGGTCAGAGAACAGAAAAGCCACAAGATACTTAGGCTAGAAAATGTTAGCACACGCCTTTAATCCTAGCATTCCAGAGACAGAAATCCCTCTGGATCTCTGTGAGTTTAAGGCCACATTGGAAACAGCCAGGCATGGTGACTCACGCCTTTAATCCCAGAAAGCAGCCTTTAATCCCAGGGAATGGTGGTAGAAAGCAGAAAGGTATATAAGGCATGAAGAACAGAAGCATTTGGCTGGTTAGGCATTTTGGCTGGTTAAGCATTTGGCCTGGTTAAGCATTCAGGCTTCTAGCAACACAATTCAGCTGAGACCCATTCTAGATGAGGACTCAGAGGCTTCCAGTCTGAGGAAACAAGACCAGCTGAGGATCTGACGAGGTGAGATAGATGTGGCTTGTTCTGTCTCTCTGATCTTCCAGTATTTCACCCCAATACCTGCCTCAGGTTTGATTTTATTAATAAGAACTTTTAAGACTCATGCTACAGGCCTGGCTACAGGTGGGGGTTGCTATCGCTGAACCCTGGTTTACCAAACCAGAAGAGTTGGAGTGGAGGCCTGTGCCCTTCAAAGTCTACAGCCAAGACCAGGCCAAGGACTACCGTCCTTTTCCTGGGTATTGTTAGGGAGACTCTGAGGTTTGATGCACACTGGAAGCTTGGGCCACAGCGTGAGTTCACATCCAAGCAGATTTCTCTTGGGAAACCCTGGTCCAGCCCACAGTGCGCTTCACCTTTGGATGCGGCCACTGGTGGCCCATGGGCAGCTGGTGAGCAAAGCTATGTAGACATGTCACTTAGGTAGCCAAGAAGGCATCTTGTCTCCAGGGACCCCGGACACTTGGCTTGTTCCAAGGAGGGATACCTGCCGATGCTTGTCTCAAGGAGACAGGCTTGGACACAAATATTTCTGTGAGCAGGGGCCCTTGTGGGGACAAAGAAACACCAGACCAAGGACACACAGAGGCTGGCCACTTAGCTCTGTGCTTAGCCGAGAAGCAGGTAGACAGAGAGAAGAGCAAGAGAGGAGGAAGACCTCTCGGAGTGCTGAGGCGGCTGATAGCCGCAGCCTGGAACAAACAGCAGGCACACTAGGGCCGGCGTCCTCCATGGTGGCCCAGGCATCTGGTACTGGACAAGACAGGGATGCTGCTGCCAGGTAGGCCCTGACTGTTGGAACACTTGCTTGTCTCCTGGATGTGACTACACATGGGCGTCCCCGCGTCTGGTGTAACACCCACAAAGCGCCCTGGCTGCAGGCTGGTGAGCGCGGACGGTGTTCTGTCCACGGTGCTGTGCTCGTGTCTTTATGTTGCTATAACAAAATGCTGGAAGCTAACTTCTCACGGTTCTGTCGGTTGCCAGGTCCAAGAGCAGACCTGGCAGGTTGGTGGCTGGCAGGATCACCGTGTACTTTTCATGTTGGTGCCTGCCTTGTCCCCTGGTGTGACACTGTGTCTTCCTGGTGGAAGGTGGGTGACCAGTGCATGAAGTATGTTTGGTGAAAGCCCCTGTACTGTGTGGGAACAGACCTCTTTGCTTGTCACTTAGAGCTAGAAGCTGTCAGGAATCCCTGCTGGCTTTACCCTTGCCTGGCCACCAAGGGCCTTAGGGAGGCCACATGCTTCTCTTCCCCCTCAGCCTCCAGCCTCCCATGGCTCGTTCTGTGGGGCTAGCAGAGGAGCCTGATATGGGTGGACGTGTCTCTGTTCTTGCTCCTCCCCATACTACCTGGGGTAGGGCAGCCTCTGGAGTCCTTGGATGGGTCTGGAGTCTGTCAAGATGGTCAGAGCATCCCCATTCATAGAACATCATGCCGGAAAGCTCTGGAAGCTACAGAGAACGAGGCCTGGATGTGGCTCCCTAAGTTGCCCTCTGGGGACCAAGAGTGACAGCCCCAGCTGGTAGGAAGCTGGCTGGTGCTGACTACATGCCTGCAGAGAGCAGGGCATGTCAGCCCTCAAGGTCCCAGTAATAAGAGTGAGATACTGGCGTGATGTGTGCTCATCGCCTGCTGTTCCCAGGACAGGGAAGCCTGCAACTCTAAAGTGGGCAGAGTTCTGCCTGGGACAAGGCGGTGGCAGGAGAAGGGAGAGAAGGAGAGCAGGAAGAGTGGAGGAAGAAAAGTGTGGTGAGCAGAGCTGAGGAGGAAGTGAGGCCCGGAAGCAGGCTTGGAGGAGTAAGGCAGAGGAGAGAGGACTCAGGCGAGGTCAAAGTGAAGGCAAGAGACGCTCAAGGCATTCAGCCCCCAGTGATGCTCTGGGTTGTGGTTCCTGATGATGCCAGTCATAGCTAGGATGGGTTGCACTAAAAATGGCTGGGGCCCATTTGTGTGCATGTACACAACTATATATGTGTGTGAACAGGCATGTGCATGCACATGTGAGTATGTTTGCATAGAGGCATGTGTGTGTGTACATACAAATTTGTGTGTGTGGCACTCTAGGACAGATTTGACTGTGCCCCGTGACAGTGGAATGAATCCACAGTATGGGGGGGCACACAGTCACCCTTCAGTCCACTGTGGGCTCCAGGACCCTGGTGTCCGTCACAGATTGCCTTCAGCCTGGTCCCCAAGCTCCCCCTAAAGATACCTTTGTTTTCTTTCTTTTTCCTTTTCCTTCTGTTGTTCGAATCTTAGATGGTCTTTTAATAAAAAAAACCGCCAGTACCAGATTTTGGGGTAAAAGCTGAAAGATCAGAGAAGCAGAGCAAGCCACAGCCACCACAGCCATTACCTCACCAACTCCATGAATCCTCTGACTGAAATCCTCTGAGTCCTCACCTGAAAGGGTCTCAGCTGAACTGCTTTAGTTCCAGTTTCCTCACCCCTTATGTACCCTGCCATCACTTCCTGGGATTAAAGGCCTGTGTGCTTCCCAGTACTGGGATTAAAGGTGTGTGTCACCATGCCTGGCTCTGTTTCCAGTGTGGCCTTAAACTCACAGAGATCCAGATGGATCTCTGCCTCCTGAGTGATAGAATTAAGGATGTGTGCCACCACTGCCTGACCTCTATGTCTAATCTAGTGACTGGCTTTGTCCTCTGATCCTTAGGAAAGCTTTATTAGGGTACACAATATATCACCACATCCTTCCTTTTAAAATTTTTTTATTTTTACAAAGTGGACCTGTCCAAAACTCCAAGGGGTTTTGAGGGCAGGAATGCTTGGGCACAGAGGCCACATGCAGGCCAGTGTATCCATGTGCAGGCCCAGCTTCCTTGCACATCAGCCAATGCTAGGGTAGGAAGGCAGAGTGGTGGGCAGGCCATAGGCCTAGCCCAGTTCACTCTTGTGTGCCACACATTGGCTGTGAGAATTCTAAGTTTAGGGCATGGGGTATGGCTCAGTGGCAGAGCACTCGACTACCATATGAGAGGTCCTGGATTTGATCCCCAGCCCCATAAAAAAACAACAACAACAAACGCTCTCAATCTAAATCTGCCGTCTGTGGTATCATACAATTGTGCTTATTGATGAGCATACTTGAACTATGCATTCTATTTATAACCTAAAAAATTTAAAATATACATAGGACACATGGGCCTCAGATGTGTAAGGAGTGGGCCTGGTTTTACTTCTTTTCTGGAGCCTAGAACCATGCCCAGGTTTTAACATAGCAGGTACCCAGCAAGCCACTGTGCATGACAAGGTCTCACACCTGGCACCGGCTGCCCTCAGGTCCTGCCCACGGCCCTGAATTCTGTTGAATCCTGAAATGCATGGACGAACACAAGCACGTCAGAGGCCGAATACTTAAAAGGGGACTTTATTACTCCTTTGGAGCAGCGTGCTAATGCCCAACTCCTCTCCAGGACACGACAGTTCTGCAAAGCTCCTGTTCCCTTCGGAACCAAGACCGTCTGACACTAAAAACACATCGAAAACATCGACTCTTTTCCCTTTTTTTTTTTTCCTTTTTTTTTTTTTCGGTACAAAATGATACAAACAACAATACAAAATATTTGTGCTGTTGACAATTACAAAAAAAGTCAGAACATCTGTCTCACCGCATGATGCTCAGAGCTGCAGTGTGAACACATCATACTCCAGTATCTTTCCCAAAACAATCACGGTCATGCGGGCTGCTACACATTTGTCCATTTTCAAAAATAAACATGCAAAAAATAAACCATAATGAAAAAAAGGAGAGGAAGAAAAAGCAAGGTGCGTCCCAGGTGTATATGGAGGTGGTTTCCGCCGGCCGGCTGGTGTGGCAGAGCCTGATCAGTGTGCGGTGTGAGCTGCCGCACCTGGCGCTCTGTGCAGGGCGATTCTGCTTTGAGTTTTTGGTTTTGCCTTCAGCTTGGAACTGGAAACTTTCCCTCCCCTGTTTACCTTCGAGAGCACAGAGGTGTCATTCTCAACGGACTTAGTACTCACTCTGGGGAGACTGATGCATCTCTGAGGGCCTGACAGTGGGCCCCGACTCTTGACACTTTGGTGGCAGGAGGCCCAGCATTTTGGATGTGCTGAAAGACAGAGGAAAAGCTGCTGCTGGGAGTCAGGGTGACTGAGGCTGACCATGGCCAGGTGTTCTTCCAAGCTACACAGCAGTGCAGGTTTCTCCCAAAGGAACTAAACCACACCCTCGTACTGCACAGAGCTGGCCACCAGCCTAGTCTGGCTGGGCCCTGACCACAGACGCCTCGTATCTACAAGCTACAGAAGAGAAACATTTGACACTGACTGAATGCTCCGCTAATGCTAACTTGTTGACCTTGGGACAGAGTTCCAAGGTGAGTCTGGGAATGCGTGGAACCCATCTTTATCTAGCCCCGGGGGCGTATTGGGGTATTGGGTGAAAGGGGCAAGCTGTTCAGCTTTTAGGAACCCCATGGATGTTCCTGCAGGGGCCCGGCAGTGACAGAGGCCTGGTTGGAGGGTTGGGGGGAGGTGGAGGCAGATGAGACATTCCTCCAGATGTCTGATAGATTTGGTCCCTCCCATCCCAGGATTCCAAGAAAGCCTTGGGATTTCAGAGGACAGTCCATGACTACCGTGTCATATGCACACTTCCATTAGAACATTCACGATTCTCGGGTTTTCCAAAATCAAACTCAGAAAATTCTTCTCATACCCCCAGCCCTGATCCATAGCAATCCTAACAGTGGCCATGCGAAGCTCAGTACCTCCCTCATTGGTTGCTGACCCCTGGGGAGCAATTTGCATAGGAGAGCTTATCTCCTGCCCCACCCCCACCCGGCCTTCTGTGAGCTCTGTTGGCCTGGCTGGCTGTAAGGAAGAGGGCTCCCAGGAAGCTACAGAGGCCCCTATCCATCCTACCTCCTAGGACAGCCATGTGAGGAATAAGAATGGACACAGCTGAACTTATGTCTCAGCTCAAGTCCAGGAGTTCAGAGTGGGGACATGTTTGGTTTGGGAAAGAACCCTGACATCCAATGGGTCATACCCATAAGTTTGGCGCCCATGAGTCCACTCAAGTGCGTCTTCGAGGCCAAAGCAGTCTGGAAAAGGGGATGAACCTAGCCATGGTGTAAAGCCAGACACCACGAGGAGCCCTGAATTAGAGACCTCTGGCTGGGGAGCATGCTATCTCTTGGGTACCCCCAGCCCTTTGGAAGTCATCCTGGCCCCCTAGTAGCAGGTATAGGCTGGGGATCTGGGAGGAACTTACTTTTCATCAATGCTGGGACTTCTGTTGTCTCCCTAAGGAGACTCAGACACCAAGCTACCAGCACCCTCAACCTGTTGTACTGCCTGGAGTAAGCCAGGAATCTGACTCAGCACAGGGTGCCCTTCCAGTGCCTGCCGTTCTGCCCCATCCCAGGGCTCCTTTGGGCCCAGATGGCCTGTTTTCCCCTCTAGTGAAAAGGCCAGCGTTGCCATCTCCCATAGGTCCTTGTACATAGCCTATTCACTGTCCTGCAGAAGTGGCCACCCTGCCCAGTCTGCCCGGTGTCAAGCTACCCATGTAAAGTGCAACACCAGATCCAGAGAACAACAGAAACCGGGTCCCAGTCAGAGCATCTGTGGTCACATGGGCACAATGAGAGTCTCCCACTGGCCACTTGGAATAGGTCCTGATATCACAGCAGTTCATGGGGCCAGGCAGCAGCTTGGGCCAAACGGGCCCAGGGAGGCCAAGCAGCTGCCACAGTCTGGCCAGGCGCTCCTCTCTGCCGTCTGCACAGCCTGGGGAGTACGTTGAGAGCATTTGGGGGTTCTGTTGAGGGGTGCTTGTGATTGCTATGCCTTCAACAGGATCCTTCAGGGTCTCATCCTGAAGAGTAGAGGGTGATGCCAGGATTCTGCAGGATGCTGTGGCTTCTTGGACAACACGCTGTCCTGGACCAAACAAAAGGGGACCTCGGTGGTATTGGGGATGACAGCTGGTCCAGAGAGGCTTTCTGGTGGACATGGCAGTGGCCAAGTGCAGGGGTGAGGACCATCTGGGGTGGTCTCTTGGCATCACACCTGCCCCAGCTATTTACAGTATCTTGAGGGGCAGGATACAAGTTCAGGTGAAAGCTAAGTCCAAACAGAAGTGTCTCTGCTGATGGGGTTGGGCTAGCCCAGTGCTTTTTGGCACCAGAAAGTCTGATCCTCACATAGCAGCCGTGGGGAGCCCAAAGGGCCCAGGAGACACTGACTGCGCACAACAAAAGCTGTGAGAGCTGGACCCCATACTATTTCTGCAAATAAGCCATCCCTTTCTTTTTCTTAATAAAAGACTTTAAAAAAAGACATATTCTCTCCCATTCCTTGCCTGTTGCCTTCAGAGGGGACCAGATTGGGTTAGGGGCTGTGGGCAGGGTGGGCAGAGCTGGGGTCTTGGGCTGTCTCTTCTTTCAGTCACTCCTGAGTTAGAGAATCTGTCATGTGTACCAAAAGGCACTTTTGTTTTTTTTGTTTTAACAGTGCTTTTGTTGTAAGAAATTCAAGTTAGGGCTGTGCCTCTGGCTCTCCCTTCGCGGTACGTGGCTACTGAGATGCCGCGGTGGTGGTGGGCGCTTGGCGGCTTATGTCCTTACTGCGCAGCTCCACACGGAGGGGGGATGGCAGTGGGGGAGGAGCCTCTTGACACCAGGACGACTCTGGCGCCTCCGCTCAGTCCCGCTGCTCGCCCTTCTCATGTCGGTGGGAGAGGTGAGGTTGGCTAGTCCTCCTCACCACCCCCATACATGTCTGCCAGCTTCTTGAACCGGGGTCCCCAGTCATTCAAATAGTCGTAGTCTTGGTCCCCAGAGCTGGAGGAGTTCAGGGAGCTGACGGAGCCTGCGGTAGAACCGCTGCCTTCGTAGTCGAAGACAAGCAGAGAGTCATAGGGGGGTGCCGTGGGGTCATTGTCAGCAGCTCGGAGTCCCTGGGGATCACAGAGACGCGCAGTTAGGGTGTAGTGTGTACAGTCAGACCAATGATCGACAGACAGAGGAGACCCACACAAGCAGGCAGAAGGAGGGCAGGATCTTGCATACAGTAGGTACTCAATAATTGCTGCATGTGTTTGTTTGTCTGCAGGGTGTTTCCAAGGACCAAACAAGGAAGTGTGTTTATAAGAGCAGACACAAGGGCTAGAGAGATGGCTCAGGGGGTAAGAGCATTTGTTGCTCTCACAACACCACATGGCAGCTCACAACCATCTGTAACTCCAGTTCTAGGGGACTCACCCCATCTTCTGACCTCTGGGAGCACTCTACACCCTCGGTGCACAGACATATATGCAGGCAAAGCACTCACACACATAAAATAAAATATGTAAATCTAAAAAAAAGACATGGAGTGTAGGGCAGGAAGCTCAAAGCCACCGGCAGCTACATCAGGAATAGGGCTGGGCACCGGGCTGGGCCAGGTGTAGTGTGCTGCCCACCAAGGGTTAGGGTTGGAACAGGGTTAGGTGTAGGGTTAAGCTCAGGACTAGGGCTAAGACTAAGTTTAGGGTTAGGATTATTGGTAGGGTTAAGGTAGGGTTGCATTAGGGTTAGGGTTCAGGTTAGAATTAATGTTGGGGCTCAGAGTGAGGCTTAGGTTGATGCTAAGGATAGACTAGTGAGGTTAGGGTTAGGATTAGAGTCACAGCTATTCTGTGGTTAGTGTGAGGTTAGCTATGGTTTGGCCTGGTGCTAGGGCTAGAGTTGGGGTTAGGGTTAGGAGTAGGTTTAATTCAAAGCCTAGGTTGAGGTTATGGTTATTGTTAGGGTTAGGTTAGGTTTTAGGGTTACAGTTAGGGCTAGGTTGGGGATGGTTAGGGTATAGTTAGGGTTAGGGGTACAGTTAGGGTTAGGTTAGGATTAGGATTACAGTTAATGCTAGGTTATGGTTAGGCTTAGGGTTAGTGTTAGTGTTATAGTTAGGGGTAGGTTATAATATGGTTTTAGTTATGGTTAGGGATAGGTTAGGGTATGGTTATATTTATGGTTAGGGTTTCATATTGTGGTGACCCCCAATCATGATATTATTTTGTTTCTTTTTCATAACGTACATTTCCTACTGTTATGAATTGTAATGTAAATACTTGTGTTTTTGATGGTCTTAGGCAACATCTGTAAAAAAGCTGTTTGACTCCAAAATGGTTTTTGACCCACAGATTGAGAACCACTGTGTTTGAGTTTGGTTCTTGGTGGGTTTAGAGTTAGTTTTTATCTTAGGTTTATAGCTGTGTTTTGTGTTTATGTCTAAACTAGAGTTAGGGCTAGCATAAGGGTTACAACTGTGTCCAGGTTTCAGGTAGGGTTATGTTAGAGTCAGTGTTTTATTAGGCTATATTTAAGGTTAGTTTTGTTTTTAGGGTTATAGACACGGTTATATTATAGCTAGTACTATGACTGTGGTTATGGTTGTACCCTAACTAGGATTAGGAATAGTCTGGGTTTCGACAGGGACTATATTTAGGGCTAAGCTTCTATTGGGTTGGGTTAGGGTTGGGTCTAAGGGTATGCTGGGGTTATGGCTAGCATTATGATTTGTGCTAGGGGCACTATTAGGCTTTGAGATGTGGCTAGGGCTATGGTTATGGTTATGGTTAGGACTTGTTAGTGTCAGGGATAGGGCAAGGTTAGGTTAGAGTTGAGGATATGGGTCAGGTGAGACAAGGGACAGGACTGTGTGTTCTGTTTCTTCTTTGCTATTTTTTTAAAATGGTCTCATTGAGCCCAGGCCTTGATCTCACTGTGTGGTTCAGATGACTGAATCACCATGTTCAATTCTCTGCAGAGTGGGGGTTCAAACCTAGCCCCTCATGCTCGGAGGCCTGCATTCTACCCCCGAGCCTGGTCCTCGGCCTTCACACTCTTCATTCTTTTTCTTTTCATGATATTTCCCTTTGTTTCTTATTATTCATTTTTTTATTTTTTCTCCATCCTTTCCTTCTCCAGTTGGGAGTTTCATTCTTTCGTATTCATTCCTTCTAATTCTCCATCATGTACCGAATGCTTTGTATGTTCTCCTAAGTGCCGCTTTGGCCCACCTCTGCCCTGGGAAGGGAATGATATTCTCATCATCTGTGCCTTTACTCTCCGTCTGTAATTTCTTCTGAGTGACTTAAAAATGGGCTGTGGACTGTAGGTTGGGGGTTGGTGGGGCGTGCTTTGCAGACCTTAAACATTTTATTGCTCATGATGTTGTCTGAGCATTAGTGACTGTGGTAGTTTGAATGTAATTGGCACCCATATATCTCATAGGGAGTGGCACTATTAGGAGACGTGGCTTTGTTGGAGCAGTAATGGCCTTGTTAGAGGCACTGTGTCACTGTAGGGGCAGGCTTTGAGGTTTCCTATGCTCAGGATACCGCCCAATGTGTCTCAGTTGACTTCCTGTTGCCTGCATGATGTAGGACTCCAGCTACCACTCTGGTATCATGTCTGCCTTCATGCCACCATCCTCCCTGCCATGATGATAATGAACTGAATCTCTGAAACTGTAAGTGAGCCACCTCAATTAAATGTTTTCTTAATAAGAGTTGCTGTAGTCATGGTGTCTCTTCACAGCAATAAAATCCCTAAGACAGTGGCTTTCAGGTCACTTCAGAACCTGGCGAATGTTCTGAGAAAACTTCTGGATGTTTGCTGACTCACAGCCTGGGTTATCATGTAAGAGAATCTGCCACTGGCCGAGCTTATGTGTTGCTGACCCCATTTCAAATACCAGTCTTGAGGACCTGGTGGTGAAGCCACACCCACCCTCCCACCTATCATGCTGGTGGGTAGGTGGGGTCCCAGATGGGACCCCAAGGAAGCCACTTTCGCTGTTTCTGTTTGCTTTACTGCAGAAGAAGGTGGACAGAGGTGTTAGCCAGGCACACGTTTGGTTGAGCAATGACATTTCCTGACACAAAAGTAATTTGTTTTTCCAGAACTATAGTGACTGGTGTTTCTGGAATCTTCACTCCCAGTGTTACTGCTCCTGAGGATGGCTGGCCTTGAGAGGTCACCTGACATTTTAAAACTCACTGTTCCCTGGTTACTCCTAGCAATGGCTAACCACGGGCCCCCAAAAGGAACTTCTCATTCTCTTCCCCTCTCCCTCCTTTCTGCCCTACAGCTACTCTAGCCTGTAGGCAGGTGGTGAGTTTTCTCCCTCTGCAGACCCCTGCCCCCACCTGCCAAATAAAAACTATGGTGCCATGCTGTCCTTTGTTTCCTGTTCGAAGACTTTTGAAGAGACAGGGAGTGGTATACCATGCAGCCTCAGCTTTTCCTGGCTTGACCATAAGAGACCAAGCTTCTCTGGGTGTGGAGGTTTTGTCGTCGGGTCTTTAATACAGCCAAACGCTGAAGGCCCAGACACGGCTCTGTAGGTGCTTGGGTTACCACCTTTGTGTTGTGATGGGGACAGGGTCAGAGTAGAGACACGCAGGCCAGTTTGCTTGGGTACCAGGGTTCCAGTGTGGGCGGGAAGGCCATTCCCAGCTGCACTGGCTTAGCGTGTCCAAGGGTTGTACTGATGCCTGTGCCATTTCTCCTGAGACCAGGTCTTCCTCCTGTCACCCTATTGCAGGCACAGGGGCCCAAATGGCTCCAGTTCCCACTGAGCATCTGGTGAGGGCTAAGCTCTAAAGTGGAGAACATTAGACCTCCTCAGAGGTTCTGAGTCAGCAGCTAATGTGCTCAAGGCCACACAACAGGCCTGGCCTCTAGACCCAGTCTGACCACCTCAGACCCTGTAGAGCTCTGTGTGTATGTGTGATAGGATTTTACTTTTAAAGGAGACTCCTTGCTCGGGTCCTCCCAAGGTTCATACCTCATTGATGAAGTCTCCAATGTCGCCTGGGTGGGGCACCACAGGCCTGACTGGGTACTGGGGCTCAGCACCTACTGGCCGTTCATCCACCCGCCTCACACCAGGGGCCTTGCTCAGCACGTGCTCCATGGCTTCCGGCTGCTGTAGCTGGCTGAGGTCATAGTCCTGGGGATGGAGGCCAAGTGAGTCAGGGGAACTGGAACGTGGGGGCAATAGGCGGGGCAACAGGAAAGCCTGATCACACCCTTGCTCAGTTCTGTCACTGCCCGGAGGGTGCCACTGTACTGGTCTCCAAGCGCACTTAACTGTCCCATTCCATCCCCATGGCCTGCCCTTTCCACACTGTCCACCTCTTCTCTATTTGCCCGAGCCCTGTCTGACCTCAGGTAGCCGTGGAGTCTATGCCTGCCAGCTGCTTTGCTGAGGCCTGGAGCTCCCTCCTGGAGTGACCTTCCTGCCTGCAGATCAGCGGCCTTGGACTGCCACCTTGCACTCTCGGTGCTGATAGGAAAGGGCTGGGTCCTCCTTGGCTGTACCAGATAGCTCTGTGTAGTCAACCCACCCTGATCAGAGAGCCTCCCACAGGAGTGCCAGGAGGTGGGTGTTGGTGTCCCCGGAAGACTCTGGTCTGTTTCTTCCAGGGACAGCGGTGGGTGGGGGCTGGAGAGGGAAGAGCATGGGAGGCGGACAGGTCTGCTGGAAGGATGCAGACGGAGCCTGCATAGTCAGCCCAGGTCTGAGCACACACAGGGGAAAGACTGTGCCTGTGCCTGGGTCTGTGCCTCTGGAAAGGAGTACACAATACCTTTCCATAAGAACTAGGACATGCAAGGCTAAAGGCCCAGAATGAGCCCTGCTAGCCCTTGGGGTGTAGTAGGCAGGCTGAGACCTGGGGCTCACCTGGTCCTCCTCGCCACCACCTTCCTCATCGTACTTTAGGATGTTGTCACGCACGTCGTCCTCAGGGTCGATGAGCAGCTGCTTCGTGTGTCGCTCCTTTTCCCTCCGCTTCATCCACACAACGAACAACAGGACCATGACTATGAGAGGAGGGTCACATTGTGAGCAGTGTGTGCGTACGTGGGCACGTCTGTGCAGATATGTGCACAGGTGTAAATCTGTGTGCATGCATGGCCTTCTGTGTATATAAGTGTGCATGCCCGGGCAGATCATGAACATGTAATGGTTGGATGGATGTATATTCTGTCTTCATCTACATAGGCAGGTAAACATGTGCACAGCTATGCCCTGTCCTCACACCCCACAGTGGGGTTACAGGTATGTGCACAGTTATGCCTTGTCCTTACACCACACAGTGGGGTTACAGGTATGTGCACAGCTATGCCCTGTACTCACACCACACAGTGGGGTTACAGGTATGTGCACAGCTATGCCCTATACTTACACCCTACAGTAGGGTTATAGGTATAAGAAAGATTGCAGCTAGCTTGGAGGCCAGAACCCTGCAAGTGACAGTATTTTTTTCAAGCATAGGACAAGGTGGCGGCCGGGGGACCTCTTGATGTGGCCCAGACGGAACTGGAGAGAGAGTGGGGGAGCTCCCACCTGTGAGCAGCTAAGCAGAAACCAGAAACCTTGAGCCCCTCTCCACCAGATCAAGTGTCCAGAGAGTCAGCTGTGCAGCTGGTGTCTCAGATACGTTACCTGAGGAGACATGTGGAAGGAGTTTGCAGGAGAAGGGATGTGCGCCCTGCATGCCTCGTTCTCTGATAGGGCCACAGGGGTGTCTGTACTTGGATCCCTGGCTTGGTACACTCAGAAGGCTGGAGAGGGACCCAGGCTCCCTCTCTGGCTGGTAGGTCCACTCACTTCCACATGGGTACTGCCTACTGTTGTGTTCTCTATTCCTGTCCCTTGTATCTTCAGAGGGGAATGCAGGCTCCACCCCCACTCCAGAGTCACCTCCCCCACAGTGCAGATGTTTCTGATCCCACATAAAGATGACACCACCCTGACTGTTTGGTCAAAGGCCTTGGAACCAAATGTAGTTAGAGGGAACCCTGGGTCTGGAATAGAAGAAGAATAGAAGAGAGATGGAATGGTCTTGGATGTGGCTCATTCTGGTCCAAGTGGGGACTGATGCCTGATTTTCAGTCCTTTCTTGTACATGGTGGAGACCCTTTAGCTCAGTGTCATTAGGAGAGGGGCTGTTGACCCTCTGCCATGACTGCTATTGTGGTTTCTGGGCTACTGTGGACCAGGGCAACTGTCCAGGTGAGAGGGTGGTACATCAGGGTCATTTCTAAGCATTCTTCTTATTTCCCATAGCCCTTAATCCTGTTCAGGGAGCCACATGGCTCTGGGAAATGCAAGAAGCAACTGGAGCATGTGACACCACCAGAGCCAACGAGCACACTCCATTTCCAGCTAGAGATTGGTCCTAAGATACATGTATAATCTGAGTCTCCGTTAAGAGACTTGAGGGCTTGGGTGGGATGTTGACAGACAGGGACTATCATTTCCTCAGTGTCCACTTGAGAGTGGCCTGCAGATATCGGAGGCCCAGGAGGGGGCCATCCTGGAGGGTTAGGATCAGGGTTAGGGTTAGGGTTAGGGGTTAGGGGTCAGGGTTAGGGTCAGGAGCCTTTGGGAGGCCGAGTCCGATGATGACCAGACTTGGACAGCTGTGTCGGGCTGGCCCTCCATCAGAGTTATCGATAAGGTGGGAGATTTTACTTTCTTATCCTGTATGGACGAGTTTGGTTGGACTTCAGGGAGGTGCCCAGGAGCTAGGAATCTGTTGAGTAAGTGGCTGTGGCGCAGCTCGGATCTCATTCGGGCCTGGCTGTCTGTGGGACACGGAGCGTCTGCACCCATGAAGCCCATACTCACTCAGCAGGATCACGATGCAGATGAGGATAGCCACGATGGCGCCTGTGCCCAGGCCGGCTGCAGCCACTGCACCGATGGTGGTGCAGTCACCGTTCTCGTCGCATGGGCACACCTTGACTTTTATGATGGACGTGTTGAACAGGGGAGGGTTGCCAGAGTCCGTGACGATGATGGGGACGTCGTACACGCCGGCCTCCAGGTACAGAATGCGCAAACTGAGCTGGGCATAGTCACCTGGAGTGACGAGCAGCGACAGCGAGTCATTGGTCAGCTCTCCTTCCCCAGGAAGACTTCCATAGGTAGCTGCTGAGTCTGATAGCATGAAACTCTCTCTCTCACACACACATGTGCATGCACATGCATCATGCACACATGTACATATATGCACACAGTGCACACACATATACTCAGAAGTACACATGTGTATGCACACACATCATGCACACATATGTACACATATGCATGTACACACACACACACACACACCACCACCACCACCACCACCACCACCATGCCATTAAGTTAAAGACTTAATGGGGAAATGAGTCCATTGGTGAAGTTCTTGCCACACAAGCATGAGGATCTGAGTTTTAGCCCCCGGACTCATGTAAAAAGCCTGGCACGGAGTGCATACTTAAGAGTCCTGGAGCTGGGGAGGCAGAAGCAGGTAGATCTTTGGAGCTGGCTGGTCAGCCAGAGGAGCTCGGTCTGAACAAGCAAGGTGGACGGCTCTCAAGGAACAATTGTGGAGCCTGCCTATGACCTCCTGTGTACATGCACACACATGTATCTGCACATATGTGCACCTGCACACATACACTGACACACAAAGCTAAAACATCAACCATATCAAAAAAAGAGAGTCAACCTGTAGGATGAAGAGATGATTTCCTGAATGTATAGAGTTTTATGAAATCAATTAGGGAAAAAACTCAAAGAAAAAAGGCACAGGAACCCAAACCTTTACACGTGTGAAAGTTCTCCCCTAGGAGCTCAGAGACAAGAGAAAGGATTGGCTTTGCTTCCTGGAGCAGCACCCTCTCATGTTGGCAAGGGCGTGAGGCGTTGGTAGTTTTGCTGGTGGGTGCATACTTGGGCATTGCTCCTCTAGGAAGCTGTAATGGTCCTAGGGCTGGCCACACCTGAGAATGAGGTCACCCCGTCATAGGAGTAACAGGAAGGAGTCCCTCCTAAGGGGATGCAGCCTTCAGGGGCCAGTCCACCCACACTGGCTGCCAGCATGGTCCAAGCTAGGCTCTTTCTAGAACAGCAAGGCACTAGGAGCAAATGAATGGCTTCCTGGTGGGGACAGGAGTAAACAGGGCCATACCCCAGCCTGTGTGTGACTGTCTGGGAGGGTGAGACTGTCTCCCATCTGTGTGGCTCACTGTTCCTTGGTGATGGGTCCTGGGCCACATCCTAGATCCTGGTTCTGCCTGGCCAGGGCTCTGCTGGGTGGGCTCACCGTTTAGGCGGGTGATGGTCCAATTCTTCCTCACTGTAGTGGGGATGAAGGGCAACTCAAAGACGTAGGGGCCGATGTTGGGGTCCATGTCGGCGTCGGCCGCAGTGATGTTGATGGCGTTGAGGCCTGGCCTCTCGCAGATCTGTGCCTCCTTGGGCAGCAGCTGTGGTGCGTTGTCATTAATGTCAATGAGGTATATCTGCAGGGTCCCAGTGCCACTGGCTGGGGGGATCCCTGCAGGACAGATAGGGGTGAGCACACAGGGCCCCACATAGGACAGACAGACACACAGCTACATGTGCCATCTTGTAATCTGCTGTAGGAGAGGACCAGGTGCTCTTCCCTCAACAAGGGCTGTCTATATGGCCAACTTAAATATTTTGTGACTTATTTTTGTTTTGTTTTATGTGTTCATCTTGCCTGCATGTATGTCTCTGCACCACGTTTGTGCAGTGTTCATAGAGGCCAGAAGAGGGTGTTGGATCCCCTGGAACTAGAGTTAGAGACAGCTGTGAGTTTCCATGTGGGTGCTGGGAATTGAACCTGGGTCCTCAAACAGCAGTCAGTCACTCTTAACCATTGAGCCATCTCTCCAATGCCTATCCAGCCAACTCTGTGGACCATAAGGACTGCAGGGCCTGGGGGCAGCCAGTCGGGTTAGGTTAGAGTTTCTCTGGCGGTCACTTGCTATGGGACCAGCTTTGGGGCCACAGGAGTGCTCGCTCTTGAAGTTTCAGCTGCTCCGTTCCCCCAAGAACCCACCAGTACAGTCCTGCCTTGGGGCCTTTGCCCATGTTCCTTCCAACAGCGGAAGGCTCCTCTCCTCCTTCCCGCCACCTTTACGTCCTCCCAGCTTCTCTCACCACTAAAATGTCCATGTCAGCTTGTTTCTCCTCGGTCTCTGTGGGGCAGAAACTGTTGTGTTGCTGCCCCCACTGTTCTCTTTAAGAGAAGAGCCAGAACCCTATGTATTACCTCAGATTATCACTGTCCACCGGGAGGTTACATTTCCAGCTAGATGTGATCTTGCGCCTAAGTTCTGGTCTTCATAGGCTCTGAGCAGAGGCCCTGTGTGGTGCTTCCTCGAAGTCCCCAGGAGAACTCGGGTGTGCACTGCACTCTTCCTGCTTCTCCTTCTGTTTGCCAGACTATGGTGGTGATGCCTGGGGCATCCATTCTGGACCATGCCATGGCACAGCACGGTCATGGTGTGAGTGGAGTGGGCCTGGTTGTCAAATCTCACCCTGGCTACCACGTTTAGATTTCTCCATCTAAGCTGCTAACGTGGCTTTGAACACACTCTGTAACCCAGGTTGGCCTTGAGACTGTGATCCTCCTGCCTCAGTCTCTTCAGTAGCAGGGATTACAGTAAGTATCACCAGGCCTGGAAATATGTCTCCTCTCCCCTCCCCTTCGAAGTACTGGGAGTGAACTCAGAGCCTCACACTTGCTAGGCAAGTGGTGTATCACTGAGCCACATACCTCCAGCTCCAACACCCCTTAATGTGAGAGAAAGTCCCTTTCAGTCTTGTTGCCGTTAGTATGTGCTACCACCACCTGGCTTTTCCTTAGTCTTGATAGAAAGTAAATTAGGTACAAAACTTCAGACTCATCAAGATAGGATAGATAATAGAATATTTTCTCTGAATATTCTGAATACAAATGGACTGGACATTGTGAATGTATTTCTTACTTGATAATTGTTCTTATTGTATATAGTTTTACTATGTTAGAGTTAAAACCTTTCCTTTTTATTAGACAAAAGGGGGGGCAAGTGGCAGTGGTGCACTCTTTAATCCCAGCACTCCGGAGGCAGAGTCAAGTGGATCTCTGTGAGTTCGAGGCCAGCCTGGTCTATAGAGTGAGATCCAGGACAGGCACCAAAACTACATGGAGAAACCCTGTCTCAAAAAACCGAAAAAAAAAAAAAAAAGAGGGGGGAGAAGAATGTTGTGGAATAATCTTTTTGTACACTATGAAGATGTGTCACTTCGATTAGTTTAATAAAAAGCTGAATGCCCAATAGCTAGGCAGGATTTCTGGGTAGAGAGGATGCTGGGAAGAAGAAGGCAGAGAAGCCAGGAGATGCAGAGCAAGCAGGATGGACAGTACAGAAATGAGGTAATAAAGCCATGAGGCAGAAAGTAAATTAATGGAAATAGGTTAATTTAAGTTATAAGAGCTAGTTAGAAACAAGCCTAAGCTAAGGCCAAGCTTTCATAATTAATATAGGTCTCTATGTTGTTTTTTGTGAGCTGGTGGCCCAAAGAAAAATCCATTTACAAGAACCTGCACTGACTTCTTCAGCATGACCCATCATCCTTCCTGCTCCATTCCTCATGCTCTTTCTCTGTGTTGCCTGCCTAGCACTTTCTCAGTGCCTGCCCAGCACCTGCCCAACACCTGCCCAGCACCTGCCCAGCACCTGCCCAACACCTGCCCAGCACCTGCCCAACACGTGCCCAGCACCTGCCCAACACCTGCCCAGCACCTGCCCAACACCTGCCCAGCACCTGCCCAACACCTGCCCAGCACCTGCCCAGCACCTGCCCAGAACCTGCCCAACACCTGCCCAGCACCTGCCCAGCACCTGCCCAACACCTGCCCAGCACCTGCTCAGCACCTGCCCAGCACCTGCTCAGCACCTGCCCAACACCTGCCCAGCACCTGCCCAACACCTGCCCAGCACCTGCTCAGCACCTGCCTTGCACCTTCCCAGCACCTTCCCAGTTCCTGCCCAGCACCTGCCCAGCACCTGCCCAGCACCTGCCCAGCACCTGCCCAGCACCTGCCCAGCACCAGCTCAGCACCTGCCCAACACCTGCCCAGCACCTGCCTAGCACCTGCCCAGCACCTGTCCAGCCCTTGCCTAGCACCTGCCCCAAACCTACCCAGCATCTGCCCAGTGCCCTCGCTTGCTCTCAGAGCTGTCAGGCCTGCTCTGACTCAGAGTCACAGGGCTAAGGTGGACATAGGCCTTCCTGCCTTTCCTGGCTAGGGTGTCAGCTAACAGTGTTGGAGAATGGCAGATCTGTTGTCATCACTCAGTTAGAGGTAGGGAAGTTGAGAAGCTAGGGCAGCCATCTGCCACTACATCTCCTGGTTCCTGACTACCCTGGAGTCATGAGTGAATGCAGGACAGTGGGAACACTGTGTGGGAACATGGTCAAATGAGTTAGCAGGTTCTTAGATGGAGAAGCGGAAGTTTGGATGATGGGAGGGGGCAGGATGGGGGCAGTGTCGGGTGACAAAGTCGCCAATTCATGGCTGCCTGCACAGACTTCCCTCTGGGTGCCACTGGCTCCCCTCACCAGTACCCCTCCCCCTGCCCACAACCCCAGGACATGGGACGCTGCTATGACAGTGCCTCCCTGGAGTGGGACACACCATTGTCGGCAGCCAGGAAGGTGGCCTCATATACATTGTTCTTGGTGTAGAGCGACTCTCGGTCCAGGACCGCAGCTGTGGTGATCTGCCCGTTGGATGTATTGATGTGCAGCCAGTTGGCAGGATCGGACAGCTTCGAGTACCTGTGGAAGCCAGAGGCGAGATGAGGGCCCCTGGGCTCTTCACCCAGCCAGCCCTGCGTATATCTTAGGGCCACCGAATCAGCATCCTGGATCACAGCACAATGGCATTGCTGACCCCTCAGGGTACTTGCAGGTTTCCTGCACCTCTGTGCCCCGCCCACAGAGGGACAGGCCACAACAGGGGCTCCTGTCCTTGTGGTGGGTGGCTTTAGATTCTAGAGGACTCCAGGAGACTGGCTCTCATCATCTCCATTTTACAGGTTGGTGTTTGGCTTGCTCAAGCCACATCCACTGTCAGTGAAGCCACGACTTGCCCTGGCTCCATAGTCTAACGTCTTCCTCGTTAGCCTGGACACGCTGACAGTGCTTACGCGTGCCCAAGGCTGTCCTGTTAAGTGACTCCCTGGGGTAGGTTGCTTCTAGACTGAGCCAGTGCCTCAGGTCTGGACATGGTCCCCCTTATCCTTCCTCTCTGTACTGGGAGTCCTGGTTTTCAAGTTTCTTTGGGTACCATGGGACTCTTTTGTGAGGCACAGACAACTGGGTCCCACTTTGAGGGTCAGACAAGGTCAGGCCACGCTGAAGACTCACCTCACGGCTTGCTGCATGAACCTGTCAGGGTCCACTGCGGAAAACGTGGTCAGTGCAGTGCCGGTAGGTACACCCTCCTCCAGGCGGATCAGCTTGTGGTTGGAGGGGAAGTAGGGGGCCTCGTTGACATCAGTGACAGAGATGGTCACCCCTGCTGTGGACTGGAAGGACATCTGGATCCCACTGGCCAGGGGCGCCTGGTTGGACACCATTACGGTCAGCATGAAGGCGCGGTTCAGCTCATAGTCCACTGCCTGGAAGAAGGGACAGGTGAGTGGGGCTTCCTAGAGTGAGTGTGGGTCTGGCCATCCACATTTCCCAGTCTCTTTGACTCTCCCTGCCTTCCTTTGTGTGGTCTCCACCGTCCCTCTACATCAGACTCTTGTTTCTGGCTTCTGCTGGGTTCTGGCCAATCCGAGGAGAGAAGGGTTGGGATAACACTCTAGCCAGCAGCCCCACGCCTTGATGAGGCAAAGGCCGAGCTTCTGGGGCATGGATCTTTCGGCCTTAGCTTCCCAAGTGTTGGGATTACAGGTATGTATCTCCGTGTCTGGCTTCATGACTTCTCAATAACAATTCCTTAATTACCGTGCGGGCTGAGCAATGGCCTCCAAAATACCCAGGGCCTCGCACTGGGCCCTGGTGGCTGTGAGCTCGTGGGGACAAATGTGCTGAGGGTCTTGAGAGTCATTGCAGCCACAGGAAGCTCAGCAAATGCAACGAGGGCTGAGAGTAGTGGTGGCCAAAGGGTTTTGGTTTTAGGGTGGGCAAAATGGGTCAGTGAGTAAAGACATCTGCCACCATATCTGATGATGAGTTTGCCTTGCAGAGCCCACATGGTTGGAGGAGGGAACCAACTCCTGCAATTGTCCTCTAACTGCCTCTTGCATGGGTAGCGCATGTGTTTCCCCCGACCCCACACTAAATAAAATTAAAGTTTAAAAAGCAAGTTTTTGCTGGACACAGTGGTGCACGCCTGCAATCCTGAATTCAGGAGGCTGAGACAGGAAGACGGCAAGCTTGAGGTCGTCCTGGAAGACATAGGAAGGATGTCCACCAAGCCAGCCAAGCAGCAATGCTTTTACTTATTTAGCTTTTCCTTGTACTTATTACTAATTTTGTGTCCCCAGTTGGAGACTTATAGTAATATGAATGCAGTTCTGGGGTCAGAAGTAAAATGTCTGTCCCTGGGCTAGAGTCCAACAGTGGGGCCAGTTCCTTCCCAAGACTCCTGTCTCACGCATTTCACTCTGGAGAGCGAGTGTGGGGTCCCGCACCTCTCAGAGCCAGCTGGGGCCTCCTGCCTCCCACCGCTTCTGACTTCCGTCTCTTCCTCATGTCCCGCCTTTGTGTTGGTTAGTGTTAGGTCAACTTGACACAAGATCCAGTACTTTCAGGAGAGGGTACCTCAACCGAAAAAAGGCTGCCACCAAGTTGGCCTGTGGTACATTTTCTTGATTGATGAGTGATGGGAGGACCCAGCTCACTGTGGGTGGGGCCACCCCTGAGCAGGTGCTGTAAGAAAGCTGCTGAGCAAGCTATGGGGGTCAAGCCAGTAAGCAGCACTCCTTCATGGCATCTGCGTCAGCTCCTGACTCCAGATTCCTGCCCTGTTTGAGTTCCTGCCCTGACTCCCCTCAATGATAGACTGTGTTTGGGTCATGTAAGATGAAATAAACCCTTTCCTCCCCAGTCACTTTTGGTCATGGTGTTTTATCACTGCAGTAGAGCTCCCAACTAAGACACTCTGACCTTTCTGCTCCTTCTCTTAAAGACTTCTCAGGTTGCACTGACTGACCCGGACAGTCCAGGCTTACCTCCATCCAACCTTAAGGCCTTCAACAACTGTCACATCTACAAAGACCCTGCTGCCATCTGGGACAGACAGTCACAGGTTCTAGACACAGGCACGGGGTCTTGGGGGAGAGGGCACTGAAGGTGTTTCCAGGCCCCAGCTGCCTCTGCACCTGGTTGGAACTTAGGCAGGTGCTAGACAATGGGACGCTAAGAGTGGTCCTTGTGAAGAGTAAACTGGGGCCCTGAATTACATCAGCAGATGGATCATTCAGAGCTCAGCACACTGCCCTGCAGCTTGCTGTCCCACAGGAGGGTCAGTCTGTCCCCCCTGATTCCACAGACCTTGATGGCCTGAAGCATGACAGCCACATACCACAGCTCTCCAGCCACCAGCCCCTCCCTGAAGGATTCTTCCTGGCTATTTCTTTCCTCAAAGGAAGCTTGAAAAAACAGGGCTAGGACACTTGCTTAGATGCCATCAGACCCCGGTGTGGGAACATCCACAGTCACCTGACTCAGCTTTTTAAACAGAGCAAACACAGGTAGATTATGAAGCCTGACAGTTACTGGGGAATTCACATGGCAGGTCACATGGCCTCCTGCCTCTTCCTGTAGGTTACCTGGGTCTTCATGAGCTCTGTTTGGGGAAGAGCTTTGCTGGTGGAGCCAGCTTCCCACTTCCGTCTGTGTCCTACCTTCAGGTGCCAACCCTTGTGCTGGGCTTGACTCCTGAGTCTGTGGCTAAGTGGGTCTGAACCCAGACTATCAGTGGATTTTGTAAGTACCTATCAGTGGTGCCCTGAACTGTGGTGTCCTAGTGTGCTACTATGTGAAGTATCTATGCATGGAAAGGAATTAAAAACTAGTTAATCAATAGTGCCAGTCATGGGAAGGAAACAGGCACTGGTGTCTAGAGGGGGTGCCAGAGAGGCTTCTGGCTCCCCGATGGTGACCTTGGTGAGCCCTCCCTTTCCCCAAGCCCTGAGTATGATCTTATCTCTCCGTGGCACATGACGATGTCCACTTATCACTGCCCCCGGGTCCTGGAGCATGGCTACGCCCGTGCTTCCCCTTCCTGAGGCCTAGGTATTGCTGGTGAGGTCAGCTGTGCAGGTGGGAATGGGCTGGTCCCTCCCTTGCCCTATCTCTGCCTAGTTCGTACTGTATTGCTGGATGCTGTACAGGTGCATTTATAGGGCCTGTGCCTCCAGGGTCACTTGGCTGGGCCCACAACCACCCCAGCTGGCTGCAAGTCTGACAAGGTGTCCAGGACAGAATAACCTTGAAAGATCTCATAGGCGTTTTTTAGGCCAGAAATAGTGAGCTTCCCCCAGGCCTAGTCTTGACTCCTCTGTCCTTAAACTCCAGGTGCCACCAAGCTCCCAGAACTGGTACTGCACTGTGACAAAGTCTTCCTCTTGCATAACCAATGACTGTCAATGCCTGAAGCCCCTCCTAGAAGCCCCAGGCAGAAGTCAGCCAGTTTGCTTGAACAGGCTATTCCATAAAGCTGTGGAGGGAATGGTCTCTCTGTGTTTATTGGCTCATGTCCCTGTGGGATATGGAATCACATTGTATGTGATGCCCTTAAAATCAGTCCTTCCAGAAAGACTATGGCCAATAAAATCCACAGGCAGGTAAAATAAAAACACACCTATAATGTGGAAGCCAATAGAAAATCTGTCTGACAGTTTCAATTAGGGTGCTGGACAGACTCACTAAGGTGACACCCCACCCCCTACAAAGACTCTTGGCTCAAAGTGAGGACTGAGTGCACCCTGGAGAGGTGGGTGCTAGCATCAAGCCAGAGAGAGGGTCATAACAACCCTCTTGCTCTCTGAGTGCTGTACCACAAGGTATGTGAAGGAGAATCTTGTTCAGAAGAAAATGCCAGTGAGGAATGAAGGCCAGAATCTGAACTTTACCATTTCTCCTTTCCCAGTGGAAAATGCAGGAGGAGGCAGGAGGATCAGGAGTTTAAGGCCAGCCTTGGCTGCACAAGTTTGAGGACAATGTGATCTAGGAGAGACCCTGTCTCCAAAGGGTTTGGTCCTCTGCCCTAGGTGACTGATGGACATGCATGTGTCCAGGGAGTGTGCTGGTAGCACTCACCCACCTTCACCACAGTGACCATTCCCTCATTGGTGACAGGATCTGTGCGGACAGTGAAGTGTCCCGAGGGGTCCCCACTGATGATTCGGTAGACAGCATTCCAGTTGGGTGAGTGAGGCTGATCTCGGTCCATGACTGTGAGGTTGGCTACTACTGTCTCCACACGGTTTTCAGGAACCTCTCCTGCAAACTGCAAAATGTAAGAAAGAATATTAGGACATCATATAGAGCCTGGGGGGCCAGACTTCCTGGACCCAGCCAATACTGGGGAGCAGCAGGGTCACCACTGTGGAGGAGATGTCCTAGGTAGATGGGGCAGCTGGTATTCACTGTGATGACAGAGTGCCCTGGCTTCTCAAGCCGAGGACCAGTAGCGCCTGAGACTCCCTTCTGCTCACATCTACCCAGAACGAGCCTCACCTAAGCAGCAAGCTCTTGCACAGGCTCCCCTCCTAAACTGAAGCTTTTCTCATGTTCACGGAGGATCAATGGCAGGCGGCTGGGATCGATATATGGTGGAAAGCGGGGGAAGCAGGAGTCTGAGAGTGGCAGCTGCCAGAGGCTTCTGAGAGAAGTATGTCCTGGCTCCTGCCACCATCAGGCCACTGCCTCAGGTGGCTTGGTGTCAGCCACTGTGGCCATTGACCAAACATGGAGGTGCTAAGCTCTCTAATGCTAAAGTACAGTGAGCTTGCACTGTACACCTTCGAAGGCCCCATAGCCTCACTTGGAGTGGGGGAGGGGTGTGTCTGACTTAGGAATCTGTGTCCCCTCCCAGCTGTGACCCACTGCTGGACTGGCTTTTAGGTTCTTTTTCAGCAGCTCTGGGTGCACATGCCCCGCTGTCTTGAAATTCACCTTAGCAAGATACATAATTGTCTTGTCAATTCGGGATCAGACGGGAACCCACTGTGCGTATCCTAAAGGATGTCCCTACAGTGTTCCCCAGCGCTGCTCTGGAATCTCCTCTTTCCACGGGAACAATGGGTGGAGGTGAAGAGTTGCTGTAGAGCAGAGATTTCATTTGATTTTCAGGCCATGTTCAGCAAGCTGCCCTGGAGCAATAAGGCCCGAGGCTGCGGAAGGTTCCCTTAGGAAGTGCTAGGAGTACAGGGGAGGCAGGCAGGCACAGGCCGTTTCCAGAGGGTCGTACTTTCAAACATTTCTCTTGGCTATTTAGCACAGAGGGGCACAAAGCAATCCCAGAGAGGACAGCAGACCCGAGTCGTGGGCACATGTGTCCAGGCTCTGGCTTTCTCACTGGGTTCCCAGGCTCCTCTGTGTGGTTGGGGGTCATTGCTGGTGGCCTCCACAGTGAGAGTCCTGCCTTGTGCCACTGACACTCTGAATTAGCAATAGAGTCACCATAGTGTCTGAGTGTCCCACACCATGATATGGGGAGTTTTCCTTGGAGAGAGATCACAGGAGCTTGTGGGGGGGGGGGCAATGTTGCAGGCTGAGTCATGTCCCCCAAATTTATATGTTGAGGCCTTTAGCTCCAGGGCCTCAGCCTGTAACTGTGTCTCAAGAGGTGTTAGCACGAGGCTGGGAGTTGTCCTAACCCAGCCTGTGTGGCACCCTTGTGAAGAACAGTCCCCAGTGGCACAGGCATTGAGGGTGTATTAGTTACATGTTATATCCCAGGTTACTGGGGTAGGTGCTCTAGAAGAGTCTTAAAACCTTGGAGCCTATGGGCACAGAGCCTTGGCTCTTAAGTTCAGTGGACTCTCGCCTCTGGGGAATCGTTCCAGCCCTGGCGAGTGATTGTTGCCTGCCTGCTCTGGTTTGGATAAGAGTCTTCTGAGGTCCCTAGCCCGTGGCAGTGTTGGGAACAGAGTAGAAACTATTATAGTAGGCATGGGTTAGTGGGAGGGAGTCAGGTCATGGGGTGGGGTTGTGCTCTTGCGGGGGCTATGGAGACCCTGACCCCTTTTTGTCTGTCTTTGCTTCTTGGTGACTAATGGAGAAGTTTCCTCTGCTTTGTGCTCCCCACTTCTCATGATCTATGGCCTCAACACAGGTCCACAGTGACTATGGGTGGAAACCTCTGGAAACGTGAGTGGAAAATAAGCTTTTCCTCTTTGTACACCAACGATTTCATCGTCATAGTGACAGAGAGTCAATACCATGTGCTCAGCATAGCCTGGCTGAGTGCCCTTCGATGGGCACTGTCCTACTGTGTGCTGTCCCTCGTCCTGCAGGGAGGTGACCTATGGAAACACCATGACCTTACTGCCCCCTTTCAATCATTTATCTTAGTGTCACTCACACCTGTGAGGGGACAGACCATCTTGTACAGGCAAATAGCAAACGTCCCTTATTGGGCTGTGTAGGCTGGGCCTGCATGACTCTGCCTCCCTTCTTTACAAGAGGAGAGACAGAGTGTAGGAAACTTTGGTGATTACTCCTGCTTTTTACTGCTGAAGGCTGAGCTGGGCTAGGACTGCCCTTGTCTGTAGGTAAAGCCTCTGCTTGTTGTTCAGGGGCAAGCTTCCTAGGACCAGCGATGCCCCAACCTTGCTATAAATCACACACTAATGTAAAATGTGGACAAGCTTTCTGGGCTCAGAGAGGTCTGGACATCAGTCAAGGCCACACAGCGAGAAGGCATCAAGAGTAGCTGAAGAGTGACTGTGTGTGGTTGGGAGGGGCAGGGCTTAGAGGAAGGCCGTAGTCGCTGGGTCTCAGGGTTCCTCTGCCCACTGGGATCTGTGCATAGGGTGGGCTGGAGGCTCCTGGGGGCATGGTCTGAAGGTTGTTTTCCAGCCCCTCTGGAGGGGGTGCTGATGGCAGGGTGGCCCTGGACGAGCTATGGGCTCTGCCCTGCAGGGGCCACTGCAGCTGCTTAGGAGCAAGAAGAAAATAACTTCTAATTAACACTTAAGAACAGGAATTGGAACTGGCAAGTCCCTGCATCTCTTTAGCTTTGCATGATTGTTCTTGATTAAGCCAACCTGCCCGCACACTCCCACCGTGAAGCAAAGACGTGTCCCACGGCACCTGCCTGCCACTCATCTGGATGGGGCCTGGCAAGGGCCACCTGGAGTGCAAGTATGTACAGCTGTCTATGGAGAGCACACTGAAGAGGAGGTGTGGAGCTTGGCGTGGGAAAGTGTTCTGTACTCATGGGACTTCAGACTGCCACCTGCGCGTCCCTCCTTGCCCTCCAGGTCCCAGGGAAGCAGGAGTCTCCACCGTCCTTCGTGGGTTTCACGGAGGCAGGACCAAGCCCTGAAATGAGCTTTGTGCATTGTGCTCCAGCTGTGACCCTCCATCTGCCTGTAGCAGCATGTCCTGGCTGGCGTCATAAGGATTTCTTCTGTGTCCCAGCATAAAGAGAGGCCGCTGCTCTCTCCAGAGTTCCTGTCCTCTCACCTACCTCTCACAGATGACAGGGGGACCTTGCAGGGTGTTTGCTGTGTGACTGATGCATGAGAAGGAAGAAGTTCAGTTAGATTTAGGTGGTGGTCCAGGCCAGACAGAGCTCAGACCCTGGGTGATCCAGTCCATTGGCAGAATGCCTCCTGCTGAGCTCAGACGAGGAGAACTTTCCTGGAGCTATTGTGGAAGGGCACTGGGTGCTAGGGACATGTTAGTTTCTCACTGTGGACTATGGTTACCTTCAAGCAGTGCTGTAGGGCCTGGGCAGCAGGTGCTGGAGCCTCACCCTGGAGTCTGAGCTGGCAGCTTGGGTCCTGCTAAATCTGACCTGAGACAATCTCATAGACAGTCCGAGACAGGATTCATCCATTTGACATAGGAGTAGGGCTTGCTGGCTCTGCTGATCTATGGGGTCTCCTGTCCTTCCTAGCCAGTGTAGCTTCTTGGAGCTCTTGGAATGAGCAAGGTGACATGGGCCCTATTTCCAGATGAGGAGAATGGGGTTTGTGGAAGGATTGGGAGGCAGGCTGGGTCCTTGAGCACCACACACCACCCTCTGAAGCTCCTTCGGATATCATTAGTCTTCGATGAAACCCTCCTCCTGCAGGCATGCTCCTCAAGAGCCCTCAGGCCACTGTGGTGTGCCATTTCCTCTGCCGGGGATGGGCCCAAAGCTGAACTCTTTTGGTTTCCCTCTGGCCTGGTTCTCATGGTGACCATACTGTTCCAAGGCTGCCTCCTGAGGGTAGGTGGGGGAGGGGCTGATGTCAGGAGAGCTGTGTGGTTCCTGCACCCCAGTATCTATACTCTAGCATTCTGGAATGGGCATAAGGGTGTGTTCCTGGGAGCAGAGGTGGCCTGACTTAGTAGAGGGTCTGAGCTCCATGTGATTGTCCTGGAACCCCACAGCACCGATGCCTGGCTTAGGAGTCCTGTCCTGATCCCCCCCACCCCCCGCCGGCAACTTAACACAAGCTAGAATTATTTGGGAAGAACTTCATTTAAGAAAATACCTCTATCATATTACCTGCAGGCAAGTTTATAGGCCATTTCCTCAATTAATGGTTGATGTGGGAGATCCCAGTCCACTTTTGGGGGTGCCACCCCTTGGCTGGTGGTCCTGGGTGCTATAAGAAAGCAATCTGAGCAAGCCATGAGGAGTAAGCCAGTAAGCAGCATTCCTCCATGGTCTTTGCTTCAGTTCCTGCCTCCAGGTTCCTGCCCCAAGCTCCTGCCCTGACTTCCCTTGGGCAGAAACTGTGGATCTGCGATCAGAATGTGTAAGCTAAATTAACCCTTTCCTCCCCAAGTTGCATTTCGTCATCGTGTTTTATCACAGCAATAGAAACCTAATTAAGACAAGTGGGTTTGTGTCTGATTGTGGTACTGGCTCTGCTCCTGACAAGGCCACCCTGGATGCATTCCCTGCCCTCCTGCGATGGCTGTGGCAAAGCACGGTCCAGACCAGGGGTGGCCCCAGTGAGGCCTGGCTCTAGCTGTCTCCGCCAGCGGCACCGTCACAGAAGGCAGTTGCCAGGCTGAATGCTGCCCACCAAACCCTCTGGAAGCCTGTCCAGGGTAGGAGCCGAACCAGGGTTGCCACTTGCAGGGTTAGTGGCTGCTTCCCTGGAGCCTGGCTCTGATCTTCCTTCCTGGTGTCTGATAGAGGGAGAGCAAACAGATTGAATCCAGAGAGAGGCCCCTCCAGCTTTCTCAAGGTCTCCTTGGCCAGTGCACCAGTGTTTCTTCAGGGCGAGCAGCCTGGCCAAACCCTCTACCTCTCCTTCCTTCCCCTGTTGCTTGGGGTGAGGGACGGGACTCACACAGTCTTCAGGGGGCCTGAGCAGCGCCTGTTGTTGGCCATCTACTGTTTGGCCACTAGATGGTGCTGTGGTCCAAGAGACCAGGAAGGGGGTCATGCCTCTGCCTGGGCTCCTGCCTCCTAGGTGCCTTCACCTTAGGCAGACTGGTTTCCCCCTCTCTCATCTCCACATGGCAGCCACTTTCAGGGTTCAGCCCCAGCTGCTCCCTGTGGGCCCATGTCTTGGCCTACCACTGCAGCTACTCACTGGTTGGGGACCAGAGGTTGATGGGGTATACTGGTTGGGGCCTGATGAGAGAGTGTGCCTGGCAGTCTTTGTTACTATTACAGACACACGTTCCTCTTCACTCTGCCTCCGAGTGACCTTCTGATCGTCCCCTCTGCACATCCCAGCCAGACACCTGCAGCCTGCCATCTCTTCAGGGCTGGGCTGGACTATGTGTTCACAGAGGGGCAGGGACCACTTGGGGCACAGTGCTGTTCACCCATCCGTGGACTTGGGAGTCGTGGAGGTGGATGCTAGCAAGAAGAGAGATGTCGCCGGGTGGCGGTGACACACACCTTTAATCTCAGCACTGGGGAGGCAGAGCCAGGTGAATCTCTGTGAGTTCAAGGCCAGCCTGGTCTACAGAGTGAGATCCAGGACAAGCACCAAAACTACATGGAGAAACCCTGTCTCGAAAAATAAAATAAAAAAAAAAAAGACATGTCTGAGGCCAGAGACCCACAGAATGCTGGGAGACTCAGAAGTGGTTATCACATCTGCTGGGGTCCTGAGAGAGCTTAAGGGTCTCACAGGCAGGGACCTCCCTGCAACATGGCTGTTCCATGGGAGTCCAGGGGAGACGGGGGTCATGTGATTTACAGACCTTCTCTCTCAGAGTGGGGCAGGGTCTGTTCTTCTGACCCGTGGCTCGAGGCTCACAGTGGACTTTCTGTACCATAGTTGGGTGAATACATACATGTGTGTTCAGCAAGAACCCTTGACTTCTAAGGTCCCAGTATCCCAGTGTCTAACCCAGTCTTTACCAGTTCCTTTTCTGGGGACGGGAACCACATGGGGCTAGTCAGTGTCTAGTGAGGACCAAGATATGTTGCTAGAGTTTTCCTGCCTGGCCCACAGTCAGGACAAATCTCTCTCACCCGCCAGTCCCAAGCCGCTCAAACCCGATCAAGTAAACACAGACACTTATATTGGTTTCAAACTGTATGGCCGTGGCAGGCTTCTTGTTAACTGTTCTTACAGCTTAAATTAATCCATTTCTATTAATCTATACCTTGCCACGTGGCTTGTGGCTTACCGGTACTTTACATCTTCCTTGTCCTGATGGCGGCTGGCAGTGTCTCCTCTCTCCCAGCTTCCTGTTCTCTCAACTTTCCTCTCTGTTAGTCCCGCCTATACTTCCTGCCTGGCCACTGCCAATCAGTGAGGTCCTTAAAGGCGTGCGCCACCGCCGCCATGCACTTGCTATGACTCTAATAGCTCTGACCCCCAGACAACTTTATTTATTAACATACAATTAAAATCACATTTCAGTACAAGTAAAATGCCACCACAAAGATAGATAGGGGATCTTTGCTTCAAGGACACACATGCCCATAGCCAAGGCCCTGCTGGGCATCTGCCAAGCAAGTGCCCACTGCACAGCCACACAAGCCTCCCCGAATACGTGACAGCCTGATTGGTCACCTTCTCCAGACCTTACAAAGACCTCAGCAAGTTATCAGCCAATCATTTAATCTTGGGGAGCACCAGACCCTTAGGGCTACCTTCCACAAGAATGTCTAGGCCCATTCTTTCCCATTAGAGATGGCTGGCATGGTGTTTCTCTCTGCCAGTCACCTATGCCTCAGTATTTGTTATCCATGATCCATTCAGCTCTTCCATTGGAACTCTTCCCCACTGAGAGGGAAGTGCCAGCTTGGGGCTAGCATCTCTGCGAGGGTGTGAGGTACTTACTGTGCTTGTGGTGAATTCTGGAGGGTTGTCATTTACATCTGTCACTGTGATGATGGCAGTGGCTGTGTTCGAGAGACCATAGTTAAGGTTTCCTTCCATGTCAGTGGCCTGGACGATGACCGTGTACTGTTGGACTTTCTGGAGGGGAAAGGCAATGGTCAGTTTGGGTTTGGTAGATGGGTAATGCAGGCTTCCTCAGTGGGGTTCATCCTTGGCACAGGCTGCCTGGGACTTCCTGGAGCGGTGGAACCTGCTGTTGCCTTGTGATAGGTGGCTGTGGCAGAAAGAGGCCAACCGTATTTGTATCTTAGCAGCCTGCGATGGGTACAGTCACTTTTGGTGTTGAGGAAGAAGGGGCAGATCAGGGTTCAGAGGGATCTGCACTGTCTTCAGTGTGGGGTAGCTGGGAGGACAGCCTTCCAGATGAAGGGCCAGGCTAAGGGATGTCACTGTGGAGTAAAGCTGAACTGGAGTCAGGGAAGGAATGGCAGGTTAGCAAATGGCAAGACACAGCAGTGTGGTTCACGAGCTCCGCAGTGAAGAAGTGAGCAGCCGGGCGCAGGTGTGCCCCTTGAAAGGCGAGCAAAGGTTGATGACATACTGTATCAGGCACCCACCAAGGGAGTCACATGGCCCTCCCCTGCCCACTGCCTGCACTGAGAGGCAGAATCTCTGACATCACACACTTCTGACCAGAGGTGTCATGCTGTGTGAGTGACCACTTCTGACCAGCTTGAGGGGCAGCCCTGTGGGGGACCCTGTTACCTCTCACTGGCACTACTGGGAGATAGGGTAGAAAGGGCCCCTCTGTAATGTCCTCCAAATGATTTCAATATCCATTCCTGCTCTCCTAAAAGGTTAGAAAACAGAAGTTCCCACCACATGACTCAGAGAAGTGTGTGTGAGTTCCATACATTGGCTCCAGGGAAATTATAAGGAGCGAATGGGTCACAAAATCCCTCTGTCTATTCATCCGCCATCCCTCCATCTACCCATCCTTCCCTCCACCCATCCTTCCATCTATTCACACATTCCTCTACCCACCCCTCCACCCATCCTTCTCTATCCATTTGTCCTTCCCTTCCTCCCCCTCACTCCTTCTGTCTGTGTCCCTTCCCCTTCCTCTCTTTGTCCCAGCACAGCCAACCTGGCACCTGGAGAGGGGTAAATACATGGGTCAAACTCAGCACTGCTGCCGGTGTGTGGCACTGGAAAGGAAAAACAGAAACATAGAGGCATATGCTTATTATATATGAACACATGTGCTTGCATGTGTGTGCACATGAATGCCTGTGGACATGTAGGAATATGTGCAATCTGTATGCATGTGTATGTGTATATTCGTGTGTGTACACACCTGTAGGTCTCTGTGCATATGTGTATAGTGTGTATGTGTGTGTACAGCAGCCTGCCACTAGAGGGTGAGCTGGGCTTGCTTTTGGACAGCAGGACCCTGAGAGGAAAGCTAGTCCTGCAAGATGGGAGAAATACTGCAGGGACTCAGAAGAAGCCTGGATCGTCATGGCCAAGGCAGGCCAGCCATGCTCTAGATTCTACTGCCTGCCTCTGAGCCCATGTGGACCTCAGTTTGGTAGTCTCTGTCTCTGTAGTATCCCTCCATGGAGACAGATGGAGGTGCTGGGCACAGTGGCATGCTGTGTTCAGGATCACCCCCACTGGTCAACTGCTTTCCTGTGGAACCCCTTCCCCAGCTCACATAGGTACAGAGAGCAGGGCAAGTGCCCCTGGAGCTGGCCCTAGTATCAGCAGTGGAGCTGCAGTGACTTCATTAAAAAGCGATTTAACCATTTTCAAGTTTGAGAGCAGGAAGATAACCAGAGAGCAGCCATTCCTAGGGCTTTCACCCACCTCCCTGCAGCCCAGCATGCAAATTCTGCAGAACATCCATCAATAATGCATCGGTCGGCCTGTCCTAGAAAGCACCAAAGCTTCCCCAGCACATCCTCATATGCAGCATTCCCTGCATGCTCCCATATGCAACGTTCCCACCGTGTCCCCGTGTGCAGCACCCCCAGCATGTCCACTGTTGTCCAGCTGGGTGTGTTCTGTAGGTCAGGCCAAGCCCATGTCTGGGAGCTCCCAACTTCCCCTCCAGTGAGTATTGAGACTGTTTCACCCACAAGGCTGCAAGCATGCCTCCTACTCATTCTGGGCTCTCTGATCCTAGTAGGGGTCAGTATGGGGGGTATAAATTGAGGTGCAGAGCCTCATATAGAACATATAGAAACACATAGAACCCCTGAGTCCCTTCATTCTCCATTGAGGCCAAAGCCATTGCTGGTCACTCTGCTCTGAGAGGGTCTCTGGTCAGAGCTGTTCTGGGTCAGCTTCCCATGGTTTCTAGGGGTCATTCCCCTTGGGCTTTCCCACTGGTCATGGCTGGAACCTTTGCCTCCTCAGACACTGAGAAGTGGAGCAGCTGAGGCTGTCCCCTTGTGGCTCAGTATCTAGAGGCTGCTGTGTGCCCAAGAGTAATGAAGGGGTTTGTAGGGCTGCTGTGGGGCAGAGGGGCATGAAAGCACCATGGAGACGGAAAAGTTGGACCTCAGGTTGGCAGGCAACCTGGAAACCCCACTCCTGGGTGTGTATCTAAAGGCCCCAAACAAGTGTTCACACAAATGGTGTACACCAGTGTGCACACGGCACCATCCACAAAGGCCAACCAGCCCATGACGGGTACTTGAAACATGGTGTGTCCACATGATGGAGAATTACTCAACTATGAAAAGGAAAAGCATTTTGACACCTAGTATGCCCAGATGAACCCCAAAGCCATTATGTCAGGTGAAAACAGCCAGGCCCACAAGCCACAAGGATAGCCTCATTAGGGAAACGTGTTCACAACAGACAAGTCCACAGATAGCAGAGGCTGCCTACTGGGGTAAGAGAAAACGATAAATGGGGGTGACACCAGCACTGTAGGGCTTCTCTTAGGGGTGATAAAAATGCCCAGGAGCTAGGCAGAAGTGATGGATGTGCAACCCTGTGTGAGCCGAGTGCACTAAGAGGGTGAATTCCACAACATGTAAATAATAGCTCAGGGCGCTGGCACTAGACTGACTGCACATGTGTCCCTGAGAAAACACAACTCTTCTCAGAGGGGTGCACACAGCTCTTCCTCCCCACTACTGCTGCCTGTGGGGAACCAATGCAGGCTGTAAGCCTTGGCCTTGGAACACCATGGGGTGGGCTACCCAGCTCTGCTCTCACCAGCCACCCTGTCTCTTGGGACCCTGCTCACTATCCTCCATGGTTGCTAGGGGAATGCTGTTGGAGGTCCCAGGCTTCCATAGAGCCTCAGGGTGACACTTAGAGCAGGCTGAACCCTGTCATGGAGCTGTCCTGACCCCCTGCAGGTTGCTTTACCTATTCTGCTGCATCCCAGTGGCAGGAGGAGGTGATTCCTGTGTGTACAGACTGCCTGGGTCACATGAGTCTCCAGCAGCCCTGGGCCCCGGCAGCAGTGGCCTACAGTGTGGGAGAGTCCTTTGCCACGTCCTAGCTGCGGAGGCTTCCTTGCTTAGGGGTGGAATGGGGAAACTGTGTGCATGTCTCACAGGGTACCCAGGTTGGCTCTTGGTGAAGATTTGGCACCAAGAAGTTGCCTAAGTGCAGAGCTAAGGCCACCAGCAGAGCTCCCAGCAAGGGTGGACACAACATGGCCTGTGTCTTAGGCAAACCTCCACTGACTTGCTACAGTCCCTGAAATCTGGGCTTCCCTAGTTCCCTCACTCTAGGATATGAGTGAACACCAGGCTCTGGGGCTGGAGAGATGGCTCAGTGGTTAAGAGCATGTACTGCTCTTGCAGAGGACCCGAGTTTGATTCCCAGTACCCACATCAGGTGCCTCACTCCAGCTCCAGGGAATTGAACTCTTCTGACCTCTGCAGGTGGGCCTGCACTCACTTGCACACACACACACACACACACACACACACACACACACACACACACAAGTGCACAAACACTCCATATAATTAAAAATAATAAAATAAATCTTTAAAACAGCCCCCTCTCCCCAGTCCTGCCTGAAGCTTCTAGCTGCTGAGTCAAAGGACATGTTTCTTGCCCACACTTCAGCATTGCTTGCTGCAGCCTGGGGTGGGGACTCTCTGCTCCACCCCCTGGGGGGTGCTACAGAACCACTCAGGGCTCCTACCTGCCTAGTCCTGCTGCCAGCTCCTGGCATTGCCTATACGACTCCCGAGGGGGCTCCCCTCCTCTTTCCTCCCAGCCAGCAGCTCTTTCTGCTGCATCAAAAGCAGAGAAAATGCAACTCTTCTCAGAGGGTGCGCACAGCCCCTCCTCCCCACTGCTGCTGCCTGTGGGGAGCCAACAGCCTAGCAAGCCTCAGGCTGAAACACAATGGAGTCAGATCCTCTGCTCTGTTCTCACCAGCCTCTGTCTCTCTCCCTCTCTTCTCCATTGGGCACTACCCATGGCAATTGAAGGCTGTGGACTCTGCAAGGAATGAGGCTGGAGTGGCAGGAGCGTCCCTGCTTCAAGCCTGGAGGGCTGAGGGATCTAGGTGCCTTCTCAGCCCATTCTGGCAACTCCCTCCAGCTCTCAGGTGCCTCCTCCAGGCTGATGACTGAAACCGCAGGCTGAACACCGCTCTCCTTTCCTCTCCCCTTCTTCCTCACCCATGAGGTTCCTGTCTTTCCAAGGCTGATTCTAGGACAGCTCTTCCCATGAGGACTATTGACATTTGTAACTGGGTGACTCTGTTGTTGAATGTCCCATGCTCTATGGGGGTGCTGGGCAGTATCTGTAGACCCTGCCCCTGGGAGTTAGGGGTCAATCACAGACACCAGCAGTGTAGTAATATCCCAAGGGGACATTGTTTGAGAAGTAGGGCTCTAAGGAAGGAGGCAGGCAGAAATAAAGGAAAATGATCACTTCAGATAATGGCAAGGACTGTGCAACCATGGGCAGAGGATGGTAGGCATGGGGTGCTAATTGAATTAACTACTTCTGGTTAATATGCTTGGGGAGAACTGTTGCCAGAAGAGGGAATGCTTTCTGCTAAGGCCCTGGGAAAGGTGGTGTGTGTGTGTGTGTGTGTGTGTGTGTGTGTGTGTGTGTGTGTGTGTGTTTGCATGTATACGCTCCAGCAA